TTTTTATAATAATTTTTTTTTTTTTTTTTTTTTTTTTTTTTTCTTTTTTCTATTATATGCATGTTTATTTATTTGTTTAATTATTGGTATTTGATAAAAAAACAAAAGTAAAAATGTAAATTATATAGTTATTCAAAATATTTTATCCCTTTTAAGAAAAATATATATAATATGTTGTTTGTTCATAGTTAATTTATATTTAATAAAAATGCATAAATACAATAAATAAATTACCTATTCTAAGATAAATTTAAATTTGTTCATAAAATAAACCTTGATGGTAAAAAAAAAAAAATTAAATAAAAAAAAATATAAAAAATTACAGTATAAAAACAAAAAAGGAAGATAATTTTATAATTATACTGTTTACACTTCGTCTGTTTCACAAGGTTAAAAATTACTAAAAAAAAATTATATATATATATATATATATATATAGCAATCACCAATTAATAAATTAAAAAGAGAAAATACATTGATATATAGAAATAATTTAAAAAATGATAAAAAAAAAAAAATTAAAAGGAAGTGTGCATAGATCAAAATTATTTTTTAGATCAACTTTATTATTTTTTTTTAATGATTTTTTAGAATTTTTTTTACATTATTTTATTTTTTTGTTTACGAAAAATAAATAGTGCATTAATAATTTTTATACTTTAAAATTTCAAGGGTAGTTAGTTAAAATTATTTAATAAAAAAAGGAAAAGAAAAAATAATTAAAAAAAAAATTTACTTTTTTTATAAGAGAAATATAAATTTTACTGAAAAATAATAATAAATGATTTAATTAAGATTCTAGAATAAAAGGAAATATAAAAAATAAAATTTTTAAAAAATTAGTCATTTATATACAACTTTTTTTTTAACCTAAAATTATTGTGATAACATATACTTTATTGTCTTTTATTAAGGAAAAACTTTTTTTTATTTTATATATATATATATATATGTATATATATATAATATTTATATAATGGATTCAATGAAAGTAAATAATAGAAAAGAGGATTAAAAGAAAAATGAAAATTTTAAAAAGGAAAAATGAAAACATAAAAAAAAAAAAAAGAGATTTATATTATAAAAAAACTTCAAAATTTGTAAGATTTTTATACAAATTTATAAAATGGTATAGAATGGAAGCAGAGGTTGGCCCAATACGGGCATATAAATATTCATCAGTAATATTATTTTTAATATTTTTATTTATATTTAATATGATAATTGGTATTATAGTATTGTTATTAAGTAATCAATATATAGAATGCAGAATTCCATATGAATATAAAGGACAATCATATACAAAATATTCAATTGTTAGAGTAACACCAGAACACTGTAAAGGGATAGGAAATTTGAAAGAACTTAAAGGAAAATTAAATGTTCATTATGAATTACAAGGTTTACAACAAAATCATTACCGATTTGTAAGTAGCTTTAAAAAAGAACAATTAAGTGGGCAAATATTTTTAAAAAAAGAAGATGTTAGTGAATGTCATCCTTTTATTACATTTTCAGAAGGTGGAGTTAACAAAATACTACATCCTTGCGGTATATTTCCGTGGAATGTTTTTAGTGATAGTTATATTTTTTATGATAGAGAACCAGATGAATTCCCATTTCCTACACCTATACCAATACAACAAAAGGTGGAAGATATTACAATAAAATATTATAGAAAATTTTTTAAAAATCCTTCTGCAGAACTTATTAATTCTCATAAAGATCATGTATATTTTTGGATGGATGAAAAACTACAATCTAAATCTTTACAAGAAAATAAAGAAACTAATGAAAAATTAGTCATATTACCTCAAACCTTAAAATATGATCAAGCTGGTAAAGCTATAGAAAATAGTCATTTTATAAATTGGATGATTCCATCAGCACTTAATTATATTAAACGTTTATATGCTAAGATTGATGGACCCTTAGTTTTTCCTTTCTATATTTATATTGAAAATAGATTAAAAATTAGTGATACTAAAATAGTTGTTATTTCTAATTCAACCATTTATCCTGGAATCACTTTGATCGGATTCATTTTTATTGTTGTATCTCTTTTTGCTTTTATTTTATCTATTCTATACATAATAAGAATGAGAAAATATCAATTTACATAGGATAATTATCTAAACATTCTAAACACACATATTCATAAATATATATATATATACATATATATAAAATAATATGGAAAATAAATACTTAGTTATTCAATAATGCATATAAAGAACATTAAAAAAAAAAAAAAAAAAGTAAATATTATAGAGATACTTTAAAAAAAATATTTTTTACTAAAATATATGTACTTTCAAATAATTTCATTTTTTTTTTTTTTTTTGTTTTATGTTTTAATTTAATTTTTATAAGTTCTATTCCTATTTTTTTTTTTTTTTTTTTTTTTTTTTTTTTTTTTTTTTTTTTTTGTTTATTTTTTATATAAATTTAATATTATGATTTATTTATTTTTAATAAAATATTATAAAATTTTAAAAAATAATTATTTTTTAATTATAGAATTAGAATGTTTCTAATTTAATATTATTAAGAAATTACATTTTTTTTTTTTTTTTATAGTTTTTAACTTTTTAAAAAAATTTTTTTTATACTTTCCATTTTTAATAGAATATTTTTTAAATAAAACTAATAAGAAAGTTATATTTCTGATAGGAAAAACTTTTTTTTTTTTTTTAACTTAAAGTTAATTTAAGGTTCAAAAATTAAAAGATAAAATATATATATATATATATATATATATATACTTATGTTGGTGCATTAACGATTTTAATGTTTTTTTCTTTTAGTTATAAATTTTGTAGATATTTAATTATATATTTCCAAATATTTTCCTTAATTTTATATCTAAGTATTTTCTCAATTATTTTAATTAGCATTTTTAAAATTATTGTATCCAAAATATTATTTCTTCCTTTTATAAATACTGTTGCTTTAAAAAAAATATTCTATTATTATAAAGATTAATTAAATAAATCCCTCTAAATATTTTCCCACTTTAATATTTGTACTTGTATATCTATCAAATGATTTTTTTTTTTCTGTTCTTACGTATTTAATATTAAAAAAAAAAAAATTTTATCCATGTTAACAGTACTTTAATCTTTTAATATTTTTATTAATACCTTTAATTTTTGTTATTTTTTTTTAAAACCTTAAAATATTGAATTGGGAAAAACAATTAAAAAGTTTAATTAATTAGAAGAATAAGGAAAATAAATTTAGCGGAAAAGAGACAAACTTTAAGTAAATGAGAAAAAAAAAAATGGTGGAACAAAGTTGGAATAAAAAAATTATATAATTAAGTAAAAAAAGTTTTCTTTATTTGCTATATTTTTCAAATTACACTTTTTAATATTTATGTTGTAATAAACAAATATATATATATTTATATATATATATTTGTATATATTTATATATATATTTATTCAGAACAAATTGTTTTTTTCCTATTAAGGCTTTCTTTAAAATTGGTTATTTTTAAATTAAAATAAAAAAAAATGAAGTCTTATTTAATAAATTTTTTTTTTATTTTTGGTCCTTTATTATATTTAGATCCTCTTATTAATGGGGAGGAAAAAAAAAATAGAGCTAATTTATAAATTTAATAATAATATTATGTTTTTTTTTTTTTTTTTTTTTTTGCATGTTCAATTTAAAAAATTAATATAAAGAGATGTAGTAAATTTTATTAAGGCTCTATAAAGAAATTGGGGAAAAATTTAAGCATAATAAATATTTTTAAAATAAATTGACAAAAAAATTGATATACACGTATTTATTTATGTTTCCAAGTAGATATTTTGATACATATGTTTATATATGGTATATTATAAACACTCATAAAAATTCTCTTATATACAACACTTTGCATATTGATTTTCTTATTTATATTACATCCTACTTTTTATGTTATTTTATATGTTTGAAATTATCTTATATAATTTTTAAAAGTTATAACTATTAATTTTATTATACATCATTTTTGTGAACTTTCCTTCAATAAACAAGATTTTTCCTATTTTAGAAAATAAATTACATAAGAAACACATTTTAACAACATCAAAAAAAAAAAAAAAAAAAACCACAAAAAAGTGTTTATACAAAAATTTACGATTTTTAAAAATTTTTAATTATATATATATATATATATATTTTTTTCTTTTCAATTGTAACTTTTTTATTTATTTAAATTTGTTTTTTATTATCAAGAAAATTCAATGAACTTTTATTTTTTTTTTTTTTTTCTTTTGGTGATTTAGCGCTCATTCTAGCATGCAGAAGTTGTATAAAACAGAATCATTTTTATTTTTGTTTCTTACATATTATCCTTAAAAAAATATAATTTTTTTTTTTTTTTTTTTTTGTTGTAACAAATGTTATAAAAAAAAAAAAAATATAATTATATAAAAAAAAATTTGGTGGTAAATTTAAAATATAAATCTTATATGAAAAGATTTTTTTTTTTTTTAGAGCCTCTTAATTTTGGCAAAAATAAGAGAAAAATTAACGGATCTATTTTTTACTTTTAATGCACAAGAAGAAAATTTTGCCTTTTATGAGTTGTTTTTTGTATATTAGAGTATAAAAAAAAAAAAATATACAAATTAATTATTTTATACATGATAGTTTATGTTTATGTATAAAAAAAGAAAAATATAAATTTGAAGAAATTACACTTATTTATACTAATTTTTCCCTTTCTTTTTTTCTTTTATTTTTATCATCATTGTTAAATTCAAAAGTATATATATAAATATAAAGTAATATATATATATATACGTCCTAAGTTTATTAAAATTAAATTTGTTAATATATATTTTTTTAAAATTATAATTTACAAAATATGAAGAAATTATATTATATTTTAATTTTAAGTGCTCAACATTTTATATCCCTTAGTAAATGTTGGAAAACCATAAAAAATGAAAAAACATCCTCAAATAATTCTTTAGATAATGGAACAGTGGTAGAAAGAAGTAAAAATGTAGAAAATCCATGGAAAAATTTTATGAAAAAGTTTGATATAGAGAAAAATCATGGTTCAGGTGTAAGAGTTGATTTAGGTGAAGATGCAGAAGTTAAACATAAAACATATAGATTACCTGCAGGTCAATGTCCAGTTTTTGGAAAAGGTATAACGATAGTTAATTCAACTAAAAGTTTTTTAGATCCAGTAGCTACTGGAGAAAATAAAATAAAATCAGGAGGATTTGCTTTTCCTGAAGCTACAGAAAAAATATCTCCATTATCTATAGACGTTCTTAGATCACAATATAAAGATGTACAAGAACTTCGAGGATTAAATGATATATCTTTATGTGCAAAACATGCATCTTCTTTTCGTTTATCTTCTGATGCAAATTCAGAATATAGACATTCAGCTGTTTATGATACTAATAATAATATGTGTTATATATTATATATATCAGCACAAGAAAATATGGGTCCAAGATACTGTGATAAAAATGCAAGTAATGAAGATACTATGTTTTGCTTCAAACCAGAAAAGTCCGAAAAATTTCAAAGCTTAGCATATTTAAGCAAAAACTTAAGAAATGATTGGGAAGAATATTGCCCTCATAAAAATTTAGGAGACTCTAAATTTGGATTATGGGTTGATGGAAACTGTGAAGAAATACCTACAACAGTTTCTTTTGAAGCTGAAAGTCTATTGGAATGTAATCAAATAGTTTTTGAAGCTAGTCCTTCTGATCAACCCAAAATTTACGAAGAAGAATTAAGTGATTATGAGAAATTAATAAAAGGAGCAAAAGATAACAATGCTGAAATGATTGGTAATGTATTTTTTCCAAAAGGAGCTTTTAAAACTGACAAATATAAAAGTAAAGGAGTAGGATTTAATTGGGGTAATTATAATAAAGAAACTAAGGAATGCCAAATTTTTAATGTAAAACCAACATGTTTAATTAACCATAAAAATTTTATCGCTACTACTGCTTTATCTCATCCAACTGAAGTGGAAAATACATTTCCTTGCGATATTTATAAAAAAGCAATAGAAAAAGAAGTAAAACAACAAGCTAAACATATGGAATTACACACTAATGAAAGAATAATATTCCCAAGAATATTTATATCTGATGATATTGAAAATTTAAATTGCCCATGCAATCCTGAAGAAGTATCTAATACAACTTGTAGATATTTTGTATGTAAATGTATAGAAAGAATGGAGGAAATAACAGAAAATAATGTAGTAAAAACAAAAGATGAATATTTAGAAAAAAGTTCTATTGAAGGTGATGGCAATAAAAAAATGATAGTTATCATTGCAATTATTGTAGGTATTGGTTTGTTAGCAGCTGCATTCTTCATTTACTTTTTTAGAAAAAAAAAATCAGATGAAAAATATGAAAGGATGGAACAAGCTGATACTTACGGTAAATCTAATTCAAGAAAAGATGAACTACTTGATCCTGAAGCATCTTTCTGGGGAGAAGAGAAAAGAGGTTCACATACTACTCCAGTTTTAATGGAAAAACCATATTATTAAAAAAAAAGAAAATGAAATAAAATAACAAAAATATATTAATAGAAAATGAATTAAATATGAATATTAAATGAAATATGGATTATGTTCAATAGGATAAAAACTAAAGATACCAACATTTTAATAATTAACACACATACAAAAATAATGTATGTTTAAAGTGTAAATAAATTCTTATTAAAAAAAAAATATATAAAAAAGGAAAAATATTATTAAAATAACTCAAGACATAAATACAAATATAAATGTTATTTATATATTTTGATCTACTTGTATTAGTAAAATAATAACATATTTGAACAAATACTCTTAAAAATAATTTTTAAAATATATTTAATATTTTTATGGCAATTTGCTTTTTTTCTTTTTTATATACTTTTTATTTAAAAATATATTTTTTTCATGTATTATTATTATGGAAGTATATATATATATATATACATATATATATATATTAATTTTAATTCTAATATTTGTAGGAAATAAAAATTAAAAATTTTATTTTTTATTTTTTTAAAAGTAAATGATATTGATTTAATTTTCCATCTTATATTTTTGACATATTATATATCTTACACATATTTTTTTGTTTTTTTAAGTTGTTTTTCTTTAAAATTTTATATTTTTTTTTAATTTGTATATTTTATTTCTTTTAAATTACATTTTTTTTAGCTTGTATAATATTTTTCAAAAATTATTTTTTTTTTTAAATTTATGTGATATTATTTTATTTGTATTCCGAATCTATATTTACCTTTTTTTTCATTTCTATATTAAAATTTTTACTTTCATTATTTTTTATTTTTATTTTTTTTATTTTCATTTTTTAGCTTATTTATCATTATCTTCTATTATATATTGTAAATTGTTTTTTTTTTTTTTCTTTTTATTTTTTTTTTTTTTTTTTTGCTTTGTTTTGTTTTGTTTTGATTTGTTTTATTTTATTTTTTTTTTTTTTTTTTTTGAATAAAAAAAATACATTATTTAAAAGGAAAAAAAACTTCATATTTAAACTTAAGATATTATATTACAATATATAAAAAATTTTCTTTTTTTCTTTTTTTTTTTTTTTTTTGTTACATTACATTGTAAGGAAAATATATGATTCTAAAAAAATTTATTTTGAGTGGAAATTAAAAAAAAAGTTTTATTTTTTTACTTTAAAAATGTTATATTTTTGCTTATAAAAGTGTCTTAATTTTCCTTATTGTCTTTTTAAAAAAAATTAAATGATTACAATATTATATTTTTTTAAATTTGTAAAAAAAAAAAAAAAGAAAATTAATTAGGGAAAAAAAAAGAATAAAGTAATTATAATGTCATTTAGTAAATTTGAAATAACATAAAAAAGGAAAATTAATATAAATATTAATTTATATATTTTAGCTATTTTTTTTCAAATATGTAATCAAAAGTGAACAAAAAATAAAAAAGTAAAATTTAAGGAAATAAAAAAAAATATGATTTGTATTTATAAATGAAAAAATGCTCGCAAATTATAATGAAATTAAAAAATTATTTAATTATTATATTAGAGAATACTATTATCAAAAATCAAAAGGTACTTATTTTGTTTATATTAAGAAACCAGGCTTACTGTTTACTTCTTTAAAATTTTATAAAAAAAAAAAAACGTACTTCCCAAATATATATGATTGGTATTTTGATAATTTAAGTGATTTAAAGAGAAATAAAGATATATTAAATTATGAAAATTATTATAATACGAAAAATATATATTCTTATAAAATAAGTAAAGAAAAAAAAGTTAAGGAAAATTATGTTGATACTAATAATATATATGTGAATGATTCAGAAGAAAGTTTAAAAAACACTTATAAAACTAGTAATTTATACTTTAATATGAATCCAATATATTTATCTAAAATATGTTTATATGATTTAAATGATTTCAATATATTGTTTTCAAATAATTATTATGATGCATTTATGCATTTTTATTATAACATTTTATCATATAAAATGAATATTAATGATATTCGAATTTTTCCAAACTTAAAAATATTAATTGGTCATATTAGAAATTTAAGTAACATAGTAAATGATGAATTAATAAAAAATACTTATTTTTATTTAATTAAACAAAAAAAAGTATATGATGAAAATTATCTTTCCAGTATTTTTAATAGTATTTATGCGATTATGTTGAACAATTCCCCCTTTTACATATTTGTAGATAACAAGGAACAATTTATAAATATTCTTAATTTCATAAATAAAGTAAAAAAAAAAAAAAAAAAAAAAAAAAAATTATCAAAAGAAATAATTATAATTATAGAAAAAATTTAAAAAAAAATAAATTTTTTTTTTTTTTTTTTATAGGATAATATAAAAAATATGTTTGAAAGTGTTTTACCACATCCTTATTATTTAATAATAGATGATAGCATAAATATTTATAATTTACAAAGTTTTAATATTTTCTTAAATAAAATTTTAAATAAAAATAAGAAAAACTCTTCTTCTAATGAAAAGGAGGAAGAAACTATTTTCTTTTCTCATAAAAACAACATAAATTCATTTGTCTATAATATTAATAATCATAATAATAATATAAACTACAATGGTATTAGTTGTAACAATAGTAAAAATAAATATATTCATGATAAAACTAAGTTTAATTGTGAAAAAGGAAAATTATCGGAAAAAATATTAAATTCAAAAAGTGAAAAAATATATTTTTTTAAATTATTAAAAATTTTTGATATGAAGCCAAACTATCGCTTTAGGGAGAAAAAGTAAAAAAAAAAAAAAAAAAAAAAAAAAAATTATAATTTATTTAATATTATTTTATATATTTTATATACATTTAAGTGTATATTTTTAATAAGCTTTAAATGAATTACATATATAAACGTTATTTTTAATGAGTAATATCAAAAATTATTAAAAAAAATAAATACATATATATATATATATATACATTAATTTCATATATAATTTGTATTATTTAATTAATATTTAATCTGTAAATGTTTTTCCAGCTGTTTTATTTCATAAAATGAATAATGATCTATATTTTTAATTGTTTGATTATATATATTATTTTTTGTTTCATTATATATTATATCATAATTTGATAAGGAATTAAGAAAATAAAATATTTGATATTTGTCTAATAAACATAAACTATTATTTATTTGATTGAATATATATGAAAACAAAGTTTTGTTATATTTTATATAAGATAATATTTCTAATACTTGTAACAGATGATTAATATTCATAATTTCTTTATTAATTTCTAAATAATTTATTATTTGTTCTGTTAATGAATATATTTTTTCCTTTAAAATATCCAAAGTATTATTTTCTTCATTTAATTTTTTGATTTCATCTGAATTTATATGAATATGAAAAGAATGAAAATTGGTCAAAAATGATTTATCTTTTAAAAAAAAAATACATGAATTTAATAAAATAATAATTATATTAATATTCATATACATTTTATTTTTCAAAAATAAAACTGGGAAGGATGTAAAGAAATCAATCACGAAATGATTTGATATACTGTATAAATGCATTAATGAACAATAATTAGTAAAACTCATTTTTTCAACATTATATTTATTTATGATTATATTTAAAAAATAATTTAAAAATGATTCATTTAAATTATAGGATAATAAGATATTTTCTTTAGTATTAACAATATAAGTAGTTTTCTTATTTTCGTCTTGATATTTCTGTATATAATTATTCTCATCTATATTATTTTTTTTATTATGTAAATAATCATCTTTTCTCTCATACTTACTTAGATAATCTATAACAAAAGAAATATTGTATTCTTTTTCAAAAATGTTCTTTTCTTTAAAATTCGTTAAATAATCACTTATTAATTTAAAGTTTAGGTTTTTAATATTTACTTCCTTTTTAATTTTATATAAATTTAATCCATTTAAAAAATGTACAATATATTTGTATCCATATTTTAAATGAAAAAAATTATTAAAAATGTTTGATATTAATAAAACAGATATCATTTCGTAACCATTTTTTTCTTTTTGATTTAAACTATTTAACACTTTAAAATTATATATATATGAACAAATATTCTTTAAAATATTATCTAACACAAAACTATTATAATTATTTGTTAAATCAAATAATTTAAAGTTTTCATTATTCATTTCATTAGAATTATAAATATCTAAATTTGATTTTGATTCTAATTCTTTTTTTTCATAATTTGTATTAATTGTGATTTTCTTGTTTATATTTCTTTTATTTCTTCCATATATTTTTCTAACATTTTCATTAGTTTTTATTAAATTTTCATTTTTTTTATTATATTCGTCTTCCTTAAATTCGTATAATTGAAGATTTTTATTATTTATTATTGTTCGTAATAATAAATGATTAAAATAAATTTTTTTTTTCAAAGATTTCAAATCTTCTTTTATCCTTATATTATTGCATATATTTCTTATTATTTTTTGTGGGTCTATATAATTTATATTATTAATTATTTGTATATTTATATTATCTATATCATCCTTCTTTAATTCTTTATTTTTTTTAAGCAATTTAATTATTTCAGGAATTTTCAATCTATGTACTTTTATTTTTCTTTCATTTTGTACTAAAAAATATAATGATTTTGTTAAACCAATCATTCAAAACAAATATATTTTAAATTATACAAATGGTAGCTTAAAATTAAGAAAATAAGAGGTATCTAATAGAAACTGAATCTTATAATAATTTTAATAAAATCTTCTTAAAAAAATTTTAATATATATATATATATATATATATATATATATTAATTTTAATACATTTTTATAGGCTATATAAAAATATAAATATATATATCTTTATAAAAATATATATTAGTAATTCCTAATAACTAAAATTTTACTTTAATAATTAAAAAAAAAAAAAAAAAATTAACAAAAATTTGAATTCATTTTTATTATTATAAAAATAATTTTCAAAATTTTATAATTTTTTTACCTTCATTAATTTAAAAAAAAAAAAAAATAAATAAAATGATAAAATTTGAATTATATTTTCAAAATCATAGGTGATTTATTTTAAATATTTTTTTTTTTTTATATAAAAGTTAACAATTGAAGAGATATGGTTATATTAGTAAAGTATAAATTAGAAGAATAAATAAGAGGGAAACAAAATGAATAAAAATTATGAAAATATGATTCAAAATAATGATGAATATAAAGAAGAATGTATATTTACATCGATTGATATTTTCAGTGGCCCATATAATTATTTAAGTTTTTATTATATTTGTGAAATACTTTTTAATGATTTTAGTTTCATTTCGCCTTACCATTGCTATTTTTTTTTAAGGAATCAATTTGATAATATAAAAAATGTTGAAAATAATTTTATGAAAAATACTGATAGTAGCATTTGTGAATGTGATGCTTTAAATATAATAAATGAAAAAAAAGCAATTGAATTATTTCAAAATGAAAATGTAATTTATTATGATGAAAATGAATTAACGGATTTAAAGAGAAAGACATTTGAGAATATTATTGATGTTATAAATAAATTAACTATACCTGATTTAATTGAGATATCTGCATATTTTAATGAAGTAAACTTTATATATATATATATATATATATATATAAATTTATTAATTATATTTTTTTAATATATTTTATTTTATTTTATTTTTTTTGAGTAATAATATCATTTTTTTAATTTAGTCTATTTTTTTTAAATATGTTACATTTTCATTTTGATTTACTTTTTTTGTTATACATAGAACCCTAATTGGATAAAAAATAAATTTACATGGATGGATATGATACAAAGAGATAAATTCAGAAGATACGAAAAAATGAGAGAAAATTTAAGAGAAACAGGAAAACGTGAAATAATTTATAAGGTAAATAGTGAAGAAATAGAAAAAATAAAAAATAAAAATATGATAAAAGATTTTTTATTTTTTGGTGTTTATAATAATAAAGGACAGAATCATTTAGGTAGAATTTATATGAGTATACGAAATGATATATTAAGAAATTATGAAATTTATACTTGGCTTTTAACGAATTGTAACATGCAAACAGATGAAAATTTACTAGCAGATATTTTTATTGAAGAAAAATATTTAGAAAAAAAATTAATTGATACTACTTCTGTATATAATGATAAGCTAATTGAAAAAACAAAAAAAGAGCTTTCAGATAATCTAAATTATACAGATGATTGTTTTTTAGTTGAAGAAAAAACAAAAAATTATTCTTTTGAAAAAAAAGAATATATATCATTTGGTAAAAATGAAAAAAATGATATTATTTGTTTTAATCCATCTATTTCAAGATTTCATTGTATATTATATATTTGTAAAGATTATCATGTTTATCTAATAGATGTTGGTTCGAAATCTAGAACAAAACTAAATAATAATGTTTGCGAAATTCATAAAAAATATAAAATTACAAATAATGATGTAATTAGTCTAGGGGTATCTAAGAGAACATATAAAATAAACATAAATATTGAAAAAGTTTTGTCATATTTAGACAAAAAAAAAAATGAAATAAATAAGAGGATGAAAATTATGAATGAAGAAATTGAAAATCCAATGAAAAATACAAATTTTCTAAAATTAAAAATTTCTAATATATATTATAAATGCAATGAAAATGATATCTTAGATTTTTTCAAAAATTGTGGTGAAATCAAAAAAATACAATTATATAATGTACATTCAAAAAATAATTCTAATAATTCTAAAAAACACAAATTTTTAAAAGAAGCATTAATAGAAGTTTATGATAAAGAAACATCTATGAAAATTATGGAAAATAATGAATGTTTTTTATATGGAAGAAAAATTTATATTTCTTATCAGCCTATACAAAATAATGATCATGATTCAACTTATAAAAAAGATGAAAACTATGAAATTCAAATAACATGCAAAAATAATAAATATAATGGAGAATCATTTGTCATACCTAAGGGAAAATTTAATCATAGAAAAAATAGAAATGAAAAAATTTATGATAAAAACAACAGGGATAAAAAAATGAATAGAGATAGGAGTCATTGTGATAAACTTAGAAATGAAAAATATGAAAGTGAAAAATATTATAAAAATTATAAAATAAAAAATAATAAAACAAATAGAAAAAGAAGTTTGTCCTCAGAAACTTTAAATAGTGAAAGTGAGAGAAGTAATAGTATAAGTAAAAGAGATAAAAGAAATTCATTGAATCTTAAAAAATATAAAAAGAGACATATAGATAAAAAAAATGAAAATATTAATGTTAATAAAAGAAAGAAAAACAAGTATTCTAGTTCTTATTCTCTTAGTAATTCAAGTAGTGAAAGTGTTCTTATGAGAAACACATAAATAACAAAAAGAAAAGAAAAAAAAAGTTATAAAATATAATAAATGTAATTCTAAAAGAAGAGGATTAACAAAGAGAAAAAAAACTTAAATTTTATTTTATTAACTATGAATTCATAATAATGAAACAGATATTTTTTAGGAAAAACTAAAAATGAGTATACACAAAAAAAAAAAAAAAAAAAAAAAATTAAAAANAAAAAAATAAAAAAAAAAAAAAAAAAAAAAAAAAAAGATTAAAAATATAATCATAATAGAAAGATAATTATTGTTAAAGTTGTTTAATACTTTTTTTTTTTTCTTTTTTTTTTTTTTTTTTTATTTAAATGAAAAAAAATAATTACATTAATATGAAAATTGCCCTATTAAATGTATAACAGAAAAAATCAATTATTAAAATAAAGAAAAAAACAAAAAATGTATTATCATTTATTATCTACCTATTATTAAGTAAAAGATAAATAAATGAAGTTATTATGGATAATAATAAAAAAAAATTAATATTCACATATGCAGATTTATATCTTTTATTCACATTTTATGATACTTTTATATAAGTTACGAATGTATTTTTATATAAAATTCTTCATAAAATATGAAAATCATTACTATTTATGAATAAAAAATATAATAATCCAGTGAATTAAAATTTTTAAGTGTATGAAAGTTATAATATTTAAATAATCGTTGATTACAAATTGTTAAATAACATTAACATGGAATACAATAACATAAAAGGTAAATTAATTCTTTATTACAATCTTATTTCATAAATTTTTTTAGTAAAAAAAGAAATAGAGAATATTTCTTATGTTCATATTTAAGAAATAACAATAGTACATTAATATTTAGACGAAATTGTGTGCAAAATATTTCATGATATGTATGATTACTTTTTTTTTTTGTAAAAAATTTTGTTATTTTTATTAAGAAAAATGTTAAGATACAAATGAACTAATTTTTTAGTTTAAATATATATATTAAATCATTATATTAATAAAATTTGATGTAATTACTTGAAATTTTAAAAAAGTTCAAAAATAAGTATAATTAAGAGAATATGATAATAGTTTTTCTTGTTATTTTAATGTTTCATTTAATGATAAAAATATAAATGAATATCAGTTTATTTTTAACTTTATTTTTCTTTTTTTTTTATAAAATAGATTATTTCATTTGGTATTATTTTTTGTTTCCTATTTATATTAAAATATAAAAAAAAAAAAAAATAAAATAAAATAATTGTTAAAAAAGAAATATCTTACAAAAATTAAGAAATACATTATTAAAAAGTTAAAGAAAAAAAAATTTTTTTTTAAAAGAATTTTAATGTAACTGTTATATTCCATCTATTTGTACATGAATATAAATTTACAACTACAAAAAATTTGAATAAATTTTTTGTGCATTATACTAGAAAAAAAAAAAAAAAAAAAAAAAAATATAATAAAATAATTTGTACATTATATATATACATATTTTTTTGAGAATTTTAAGAGTATCAGAGTGAAGATCTATTTTATTATATTTTTTATTATATTTTTTTTTTTTTTTTTAAATTTTACTTTAATATTTTTTATTATATTTGATGCATGTGAGATGTATCTTTTGAAAAAAAAAAAAAAAAGATTAAGGTATTTTTGTATTGAGTAAAATTTTCATTCATACATATATATTTACATATAAATATTAATATATATATATATATATATATATATATTTATATATGTTTTTAATTTTGAATGAATAATTTATTACTTTTTTTTATTTTTTCTTTTGTTTTTTATTACAAAAAAATTTTTTGTTTATATAATAGTACAAGTAAAATAAAGAATAATTTCTGCTGCACATTTAAAGAAATAAAATTATTGAAAATAATGAATTCCACTGATAAAAAAGGAATTATTGAAATGGCTCAAAAAAACGCAATAAAAAATAATAATGTATATTTATCAATTAATAATTACAATAATAAATTAAAGGAAGATTATTCTAGTACCAAATTGATAAAAAATAATGTTTTGAGTATTTTCAGTTATTCATTAAAATATATGGATAAAAAAAGTTTAAACAAATGGTTGAGAAGTAATATAAAAGCTCCATATTACGATACATTTGTACCTAGAAATAAACCATTTGCATATATTAGATTTAAAAGTTATGAAGATTTAAAAATATTTGAAAAAATGATTGAAAATAAACATTTTTATAAGAATGACAATATGTCAATTATTAAAATAAATAAATCATCAAAATACTCTCAAAAAAGGAAATTTAATGAAAATATTGATAACGAGAATGGAACAAAGAAATTAAAAATTGAAGATCTTTATGAAAATAATAAAAGGGAGGATGAAAACGAATTACTAGATTTACAAAGTGTTATAAAAATAAACAAAGCACAAAAAAATAAAAGTATAGAAAATTATGTAACTCCTTTTTATAAATATTCATATCAGGACCAAATTAGTATAAAACAAAAATTTTTAAAAAAATGCAAAGATCAAATTTTAAGTAATTTAAAAAGCAAATGGATGAAACAGAGTTTATTATTTGGAGAAATTGAAACTAGTATGTTTGATGAAGAAATTAATATGAATAATAATAAAATGATCAGTAATAATAATGACAATTTAGAAAAGAAAAATAAAAAAAACGAAACAAGCAGCGATAGTTGTTTTAATAAAACCATACTTAGTGATATAAAATCAAATAATAAAAAAAATAGAGAAATAACAATTGACGAAAAAATGAAACATTATGAATTTGAAATAGACAAACCATTATATCCTGATGAAAAAGGAACAAATGAATACCGAAATAAATGTGAGTTTACTATAGCTCATGATGAAAATAATAATATAGAAATAGGTTTTGTTGTTGGAAAGATGAAAACAGATTTAAATCATAACAATGTAGACAAAAATGCAAGTGAAGATAATATTTGCAATTTTAGTGAAAATAATATAAGTAATAATGCATCACCAATCAATGAATCACATAGTACTAAACTTAGAAATAAAAAACAAAAACAATCATACTATTTAAACCCAATAGTTAAAGGTGTTGATGAATGTATTCATATTCATCCATGTATGAAAGAAGTTGTTCATGAAATGAAAAATATTATAAAAGATTCAAATTATCCAGTTTTTGATAGAGTTTATAAAACTGGTGAGATATATATAATAACTATAAAAAATAATAAGTAGATAATATTCAATAATTTATACATACATATATATATATATATATATATATATATATATTTATATTTATATATATTTATATTTTTATTTTTATTTTTATTTTTTTTTCAAGGAATTTGGAGATTACTTATAGTTCGTTTAAATAGTAAGAAAGAGTTGATGATTACAATCCAGACTTATACATTAGATCAAAAAAAAAAAAAAGAAATAAAAAAGTTATTAATAAATAGATTAACTAAAAAAAAAGATGAACAGTTCATGAGTTTTTCTGATTTTAAAGTAGTTTCTTTATATTTACAAGAACATGATAATTCAAATGATTCTACTGATCAATCATTGAATGAACATTTGTGGGGGGAGGAATATTTAGAGGAAATAATTTTAAATAATCGTTTTTTATTAACACCATCATGTTTTTTTCAGGTAAATCACTATAGCTGTGAACTATTATATAAGAAAGTTATTGATTATATAAGTATAAACAAAAAAAAAAAAAATTATCTATTTGATTTATGCTGTGGAACCGGTAGCATTAGCATTTGTGCCGCTAATGAATTAAAAGAAGAGATAAATATTATTGGTATAGATATATGTGAAGGTAGTATTATTAGTGCTAATAAAAATGCAGAAATAAATAAAATTAAAAATTATAAATTTATTCAAGGAAGGGTTGAAGAATTATTTGCAAATGAGATTAAGAACATAAAAGAAAATGATTCTAATATTATAGTAATAGTAGACCCTCCTAGAAGTGGCTTGGCCAACAGTGTTATTAATATTTTAAGCGCACACCAACTTATTAATCAAATAATTTATGTTTCATGTAATCCTATAACTCTAATAAATAATGTGACAAATATTTTATTTCAAAATGAAAATTTAAAAATAAAAAATTTGGCTTTTGTTGATATGTTTCCTCATACATTCCATGTTGAATGTATCACAAATATTATCAAAAATTAAAAATAGTTGTAATATTGTAAAAAAATAAAAAATTATGAAGCTTTAACTTGCAACCATTAAAACATTTATTGTTTTCGAAAACTTTTTTTATGAAAATTTAAATAATAATAAAAAAAAAAAAAATAAAATAAAATAAAAAAAATAAGTAAATATTTAAATAAAAAGTAAAAAAAAAAAAAAATATTTCTAAAAAAATTTACATATATATCTTTATAAAAATGTTTATTTTCACAAATTTTTTGTTTAAAATTTATTTCATTTAAAGAAATATCGTAAAAAATTTTATTAAATGTTATGCTTGTTTATTTATTAATTTTTTTTTTTTTTTACACTGTGATAATTTCTTTTTTCTTTTTTTTTTTTTTTTTTTTTTTTTTTTTATTTTTTTTTTTTTTTTTTTTTTTTTTTTTTTTTTTTTTTTTTTTTTTTTTTTTTTTTTTTTTTTTTTTTTTTTTTTTTTTTTTTTTAAAATTTGTTCGAATAATGCATCACAGAATAAAAAAAAATGTTTGTTCTTTATCAAATTTTAAATTTTAATACAACTTCAATTTTATATGTTTGCATATACATATATGAATTATGTACATTATTAATTTGTCAACTTTTTAATTTGTACAATCTATATATTATAATAAATGATAAACACATATGTAATGAATAAAAGGAAAAAAAAAAAAAAAAAAAAAAAGACCCTTAATGTTGATTATTATTTTTTATAATTGTTGCAATTTTAAATGTTTTTATAGAATAGATAATAAACTTATAAGATCTAATAATTTAAAATAAAAAAAAAAAAAAAATTGTTTATTTAATTATATATATGTTTTTGAAGCATGAGTAATTTATAATGTTTTTTAAAGAAAAAAAACAAAAAGAAATAAAAATTAAAATTTTATGAATTTAATATTTTGTACCAATGTATATTTGTCTTATATTTTTTTTCTACATTTTTTTAACAAGATGAAAATATTAAGAATTATTGTATTATATATTTTCCTTTTATCTTTCAATTTAGAGAATACATTAGGAAATGAATCAGATAAATTTTTAAATAATAGTCTAATAGATGTATTAAATTATAATTTTAATATTAATGATGTTATGGATATTTTTGAAAAAATATTTAAGGATAATTTCGATAATTTTAAAATTGAAGAACAAAACAATAAAATAAAAAATATGGAATTTAAAAAATTTTATTTTAATAAATCTAATTATGATTTTTTATATGGATCATTTAAAGAATACTGTAATTTTTTTTTTTTTTTTTTCTTAATTTTTAATTTATTTTATTTTATATTTATACCATATTAATTTATGAATATCTAAAAAATATATAATATACATTTTTCATTAGGTTTAGGTGCATGAACCTATAAAATGACTATTATTTTATTTACTATTTTATTTATTTATTTATTTATTCTATTTTATATATTTATTTATTTATTTATTTATTTATTTTTTATTTATTTATTTTATTTTTTTTTTTTTAGGTTTAAATGAAGTTATAAATAATGAGAGATGTAAAAAATTATTAGATAAGCATAATATAACTCATATTTTTAATAATATAGGTAGTAAATTTCAGTCAAATTTCTACAAAGAATTGAATGAAGTAAAATATTATATTTTTGAGATTATAAAACTATTAAAGAAAAATGATAAATTAAACAGCAATATTATGATTACATTTAATAGAATAAAAAATTCTAAAAATGGAATAAATAATATTATGAGTCAAAAATACAATAATACACTTTCAATAATTAAATATTTTGAAAATATTTCTTATAATTTTAAAAATGAAAACAAAAATTTAAGCTTCTATGAAATGATGGTAGATTATGGAAATGAATTAAATAAAATAGTTAAAAATGTATTGGTTGAATATGTGCATATGTATAGAAAAACAAAAAAACATCAAAAAAAAATAGAAAATGATATAAATAAAAATGCTAGAATATTATCAAAAATTCATAGAAAAATTATTTTAAGTATTTATTATATGATTTCAGATATGAATAAAACTAATGAAAAAGTTAATAATTTAATAGATAAAAAAGTTGACGAATATTATGAATGGATAAGTAAAGAAAATGATAATTATGTTAAAAATATAAATAATTTGAAGCCACATGCAGACTTTAATTTGGAGGAACTTAATGAAGTAATTAATAATTCAAAAGAAAAAATTCAAGAAAATAGTATTTCATTTATTAATATTAGTAAATATATAACTTTTCAAAATGCATACAAAACAATTATGTCTATTATGCATTATATGAATAATAAATATTCTAAAGACGTTAATATTATTTTTTTATATAATGAAGAGTACAATGATTTTAATTTTGATCATTCGGATAGCATTCCAAAACAATGTCCATCTCAAATAAATACTACATCAACAAGTAATTTTAATTTTGATCATTTAGATTATCTTGAAGCTGCTAAATATGAAAAGATATTAAAATCTAGTAATAATGAAAAAAATGATTTTGAACATATAGACAAAAAAAAAATAGAAAATATTATGAATTATATATTTTTCTTATATGATAAAAATGATCATAATTGGATAAAAGAAAAGGAGTTTAAAGATGATAAAGGGGATGTTTCTTATACTGAATTAAATAAAAAAATACGAATATATACAAATAAAATGGAGAAAAGCATTGATACAATTAAAGATGATTATCTTTTTAAACCTACTATTAAAAGATATGTATTAAGTGTAAGAAATCTTTTTAATAATATAATTTTTAATTTTAATAAATATATATATTCCTTTGAAAAAAAATTTGATATGCACACAATGAATGCTGAAATTAATGAAGCTATCAGCATTAAATTAAAAGATAATGAAAACAATTCAGATAGAAATGAAAATGAAGAGGAAAATGTAAATAAATCTGAAAATAAAAAGATAAAGGAGGATGAACTCGTAATTGAGGGGCAAAACAAAGCTGAAAGTGAGAAAAAAAATGGAAGCGAATACGAATATAAAAATAAAAATGAAGGTGAAAATGAAAAAGAAGTAGAAAATAAAAAAAAAAATGAAGATAAAGAAAAAACAGAAATTGAAAATGAAAATGAGAATGAGAATGAAAACAAAATAGAAAATGAAAATAAAAATGAAGATGAGAATGAAAACAAAATAGAAATTAAAAATAAAAATGAAGATGAGAATAAAACAGAAAATGAAACAAAAAGTGAAGATGAAAATGAAACGAAAAATGAAACCAAAAGTGAGGATGAAAATGAAACGAAAAATGAAACCAAAAGTGAAGATGAAAAAAAAACAGAAATTGAAAATAAAAGTGAGGATGAAAATGAAATGAAAAATGAAACCAAAAATGAGGATGAAAATGAAACGAAAAATGAAACCAAAATTGAGGATGAAAATGAAACGAAAAATGAAGCAAAAAATGAGGATGAAAATGAAACGAAAAATGAAACGAAAAATGAGGATGAAAATAAAACGGAGAATGAAGGAAAAACAGAAATTGAAAATAAAAATGATGATAAAAACAAAAATGACGATGAAAACATGAAGCAGGATGGTATTGAAAATGATAACGAGAATAATGATGAAAATAATAATGAAAATGGTTATGAAAATGGTAATGAAAATGATAATGAAAATAATAATGAAAATAATAATGAAATTAATAATGAAAATAATAATGAAAATAATAACGAGAATAATGATGAAAATGATAATGAAAATAAGAGTATTAATAAGGATAAAAATGATACATTAGAATGTGGAGTTGGAAACATAAGAAATTTATGGAAACTACCTATTATTAAAAATTTATATAAAAATTATTGTAAAAAATATAATGATAATTTTATTAAAGATATAAAAGAAATTGATATATGTGAAATACAAAATTTAGATATGGGAAAGTCACATAATAATTTCAATACATTAAGTCGCTCAGAATTGATGAAAAAAATTAATGAAAATATTTTATATGGAGTTCCTGATATTAATTATATATTAGAATCTTTAAAAATTCATAACAAAAATAAAAAAGGAAAAAATAACAGAAACATTTTTTATAAAGCATTTTATGGGAATGATTATTTATTCATAAAATCGAAAGGTTTTAATGTGGAATCATTTATTTATCCTTATTTTGAAGCTTTAAATATACAATTAAAAGAAATGAAAGTGTGTTCTATAGAGAATTATTATGAATGCATGAAAAAATACATTAAAAAAAAATTTTCAGAAAAAAAACTAGATAAAAAAGTTATATTTATATATCTAGGAAATTTTAAAGAAGAGGTTTTTAAACTAACAACATCAATAATTGCAGATAATTTAAAAAGAGAACATTTAAAACAATTTTTAGATAATTCTAAAGAAAATAATTGTTTTAATGATTTTTTAATTAAAAAATATAGAGAAGAATATAACTTTTTTGAAAGAATCAAAACTTACACAGTATTACATTCTAAATACAAAGATTTAAATATGAATAATATTAATTTTAATTTTTATGTTTCTTATTTTTCAAAAGAGGAAATACAATATATGCCCTTTTCTTATTATTATGATTCAATAATTTATTGCAAAGTAGTTCTTTCTACATCTAAATATGGAAATCAAGAAATTGTTCCAATTGATGATGATATGATAGAAGTTGCTTTAATTCTTTCTTTGGATAATCAAAATAAAAATGTTCATTATTTAATTTCATCAACAGTTATATATGATACAAAATATCCACTTTTAAAAAACAAAAAAGGAATTGTTAAACTTTTTCAAGTATCTTATGAAAAACCTAATATACATTTAATAAATGAAAAATTTAAAATTAAAGCAACAAAAAATATGAAAGTTATTTTAGAAAAAGAAGTAATTCTTAATGATAATACAAAAAAAGTACAAGACTATATAGATACATTTTATGAGATTATGAATAAAATAATGAAAAATAATATTAACTTAGAGTTAATGGGTAAATCTTTTTTTGTTCATCTAAAAAAAATATAAAAATAAAGGAAGAATTCATAAATTCACGTAACTTTTTTTTTTTTTAATTTGTGTGCCAAAAAAAAAAAAAATTTTTTTTCTTAACATTTTTCTTTTATACTAATTCATTACATTAAATTATTTTGTAAAATTAATATTTATTATTTTAGTTTATTATTAAACTTCCTATTTAATAAGTGTAATTTTCTTAATTCTCTATGTTACATTTCTTCTGATTTTTTTAGTAAAATTATTTCTCTATAATTAAATTAAAAAAATATCATTTAAAATTACACATTTATTTTTTTTTTTTTTTTTTTTTTAAATACCTATATATAAATAATATTAATTTTGATAAATTTCCTTTTTATGTATATTTTTCTTATTATTTTAAATAAATTTACTATATAAAAATACATTCCCGTTGATATAAAAACATTTAATTAATTTATGGACATTTTTTTTTATATAAAACGCTTAACTTTTAATTTACAAAAAAAAAAAATAAATAAATATATAAAATTATTATGATATTTTTCAAATGAGTTAATTCATATATAGAGCTTATGCTACCTTATGCTAACCAATTTTTTTTTATTACATGGAAGTATTAATTCTTTAAAAATTAAATATAGAAAAAAATAAATCGAAAATTATAATATTTTAAAAATAAATCAAATATATCAAAAAAAAAAAAAATATCATTTAATGTGTTATTTTCGCTACAAGAATATAGAAAAAAACAAAACGTCGAAAGATAGATATTCTATATATATTTTTTTTGTATTATTGAAATTTACATAAATATATATTTATTAAATGAAATTAATGAACTATTGAAGGGGGTAAGAATATTTAGAAATTTTAAACGTTTTTGTTTTTATTTTTTTAAATATAAATAATTAATACTTAAGGTTTCACTTATATATATATATATATTAACATTTTTATTTTTTTAGAATATTGTGTGTTTTGTTCTTATTTCTTTATATTTTTTTATGATACATATATTTTTTTTCACTTTTTATATATATGGGGGCTTTAAAAAATTGCATGCTGCAAAATATTTTTATTTTTCAATGGATATTCTGATTTTCTTTTTTTCTTTTACTTAGAATAAAAAATAAAATACAAAAATGATAAAATAAAAAAAAAAAAAAAAAAATATATATATATACTTTATGATGTTGTACGAATAAAATTTAATCATTTTTTCTAAAATAATAATGTATAATATATTAAGCAATTTATATACTGATATCAATTAAATTAACATAATTGCATACACCCAATTCATTTTTTTTTTTTTTTAATGTTATAAAAAAAAAAAAAAAAAAAAAAAAAAAAAATTATTTATAAATACATATATTTATAATTTTCAAAAAAAATTTGAATCTATATAATTAATTTGTTTTTATTTATTTTTAATTTAATCTATATTTATCATTTTATAATGAATTATTACTTATATTACATATTATTTTAATTTAATATACTACAAGAAAAAAAACATTTTTATTTTTTTTTTTTTTTATATATTCAAAGAAAATAATAATAAAAAAACAAGTGTCATTTAGCTTATTTAATTTTTTAACAAAAAAATATAAATATTTTTTGAAATATTAAATTTTTATATCATTAATTTACTTTTTTTTTCCTTTTTTATTTTCATCAAAAGGGTTAAGCTTAAATTTACATAATTTATTCAGAAGAGGAATAACAGAAATATATATATGTTTTTTTTAATTTAGATGTACATGCAATAAAAAAAAAAAAAAAAAAAAAAAAAAAAAAAAGGATTAAATATATAATATATTATGTAAACAAAATAAAGAATTACGATAAAGAAGCATTTTTCAAAATAAACATAATTTCAGATAATTTTTATAGATTTTTGTAATAAAAGGATTTATTATATGTAAGTATATTAATAAAATGTAATATAAAAATAATACATACATTGAAATATATATTTATATAGAATGAATTTTTTTCGTAAATTTATATAATTATATGAATGAAAATATATGTGTTGAAAGCATATTATAAAAAGATTAATATAAAAAAAAAAAAAAAAATTATTTTTTTTTTTGATGAGAAAATTTAGTGATCAAATATTATGGAATATTCTCTTTTTTTTTTTTTTTTTTTTACATAGTATATATATGACTTTATGAATTTATTTCATTTTTTTTCTTTATATATATATATATAAATTTTATATATATATTTAACTTTTTTAATTAATATACTGCAATTTTTTATTTTTTTTTAAGAAGATTAGTCTTGCTTTTTTAAATAATTAAAGATATTTATAAATATATATAATTTATAATATTCATAATTAGAGTAGAATATAAATTATTTTTATATATATGCATATATTTTATCCTTTTTTCTAGAATATAGTAAAAATGGCGTCATTTAATAAAAAAGGTATTGTAAAAATTTTTGAAAAATGTGTAAAGAACAATTTATTAAAAGATAAAAGTCGTTACTTAAGTACAAGTAAAATAAATTGCAACAGAGCATCAGGAGATATAATAGGTATTGATTTAGGTACAACAAATAGTTGTGTTGCAATAATGGAAGGAAAACAAGGAAAAGTTATTGAAAATTCAGAAGGTTTTAGAACAACACCTTCCGTTGTTGCTTTTACAAATGATAACCAAAGATTAGTTGGTATAGTTGCAAAAAGACAAGCAATAACTAATCCGGAAAATACAGTTTATGCAACAAAAAGATTTATAGGTAGAAAATTTGACGAAGAAGCAACTAAAAAAGAACAAAAAAATCTACCCTATAAAATTGTTAGAGCACCAAATGGAGATGCATGGATAGAAGCACAAGGAAAAAAATACTCACCAAGTCAAATCGGTGCATGTGTTTTAGAAAAAATGAAAGAAACTGCTGAAAATTATTTAGGAAGAAAGGTACATCAAGCTGTTATTACAGTCCCAGCTTATTTTAATGATTCACAAAGACAGGCAACTAAAGATGCAGGAAAAATTGCGGGGTTAGATGTTTTAAGAATTATAAACGAACCCACTGCAGCTGCTTTGGCATTTGGATTAGAAAAAAGTGATGGAAAAGTTATTGCTGTATATGATTTAGGAGGAGGTACTTTTGATATTTCTATTTTAGAAATTTTAGGTGGTGTTTTTGAAGTAAAAGCTACTAATGGTAATACTTCATTGGGAGGAGAAGATTTTGATCAAAGAATATTAGAATATTTTATATCAGAATTCAAAAAAAAAGAAAATATTGATTTAAAAAATGATAAGTTAGCTTTACAAAGATTAAGAGAAGCAGCAGAAACAGCAAAAATTGAATTATCAAGTAAGACACAAACAGAAATTAATTTGCCATTTATAACAGCAAATCAAACAGGCCCAAAACATTTACAAATTAAATTAACACGTGCAAAGTTAGAAGAATTATGTCATGATTTATTAAAAGGAACTATTGAACCATGTGAAAAATGTATTAAAGATGCAAATGTAAAAAAAGACGAAATTAATGAAATTATTTTAGTTGGTGGTATGACAAGAATGCCAAAAGTATCTGAAACAGTGAAACAAATTTTTCAAAATAATCCATCAAAAAGTGTTAATCCAGATGAAGCAGTTGCGTTAGGAGCAGCAATTCAAGGAGGTGTGTTAAAGGGAGAAATAAAAGATTTATTATTATTAGACGTTATTCCTTTATCTTTAGGAATAGAAACATTAGGAGGAGTTTTTACGAAATTAATTAACAGAAACACAACAATTCCAACAAAAAAATCACAAATATTTTCAACAGCAGCTGATAATCAAACACAAGTTAGTATTAAAGTTTATCAAGGAGAAAGAGAAATGGCATGTGATAATAAATTATTAGGTTCATTTGATTTAGTTGGTATCCCACCTGCACCTAGAGGAGTTCCACAAATAGAGGTTACATTTGATGTTGATGCTAATGCAATTATTAATATATCAGCTATTGATAAAATGACTAATAAAAAACAACAAATTACTATTCAAAGTAGCGGTGGTTTAAGTAAAGAAGAAATCGAAAGAATGGTTCAAGAAGCTGAATTAAACAGAGAAAAGGATCAACTCAAAAAAAACTTAACAGATGCTAAAAATGAAGCTGAAACATTAATTTATAGCTCTGAAAAACAATTAGATGACTTCAAAGATAAAATTTCAGATACAGACAAAGATGAATTAAAACAAAAAGTTTCTTTATTAAGAGAAAAATTATCTTCTGAAGATTTAGATGCAATTAAAGATGCAACTAAACAATTACAAGAAAAGTCATGGGCAATTTCACAAGAAATGTATAAAAATAATGCAAATCAAAATACACAAGAGCAACCAAAAAATGAAAATAAGACAGAAGAAAATAAAGACAATGCATAATTAAAAAAAAAAAAAAAAAAAAAAAAAAAAAAATTAATTAATTAATAATTTTGCAAATGTGTTGAGAAAATATAAACAGATGATATATTAAAAAAAAAAATTAAGGAAATAGAAAGTATGTATGTTATAACTGTGTAAATTTTAAAATTTGCACGTTTGTATTTATATTTTTAAGGATAGATATAATAATTTTGGAAATAAAAAAAAAAAATATATATATATATATTTGCATATATTGTACATAATTTAAATTTTAATAAATTAATGAATCTATATAAAAATTAAAAAAAAAAAAAAATTAAAAAAATAATTTATTAAATAAATTATTTATTAATACTGTGAATTAATTAATCTATATAATGTTATAAATTATTGTTTAATTAAATTAACTAAAAATATTTTATAAAAAAAAAAAAAATAAAAAATAAAAAAAATAAAAACAATTTCTTTTTAATTATACTTTTTTTTTCTTTTTTTTTTTTTGAGGCATATTGCAAAGTATATTATATGTAAAAATGTATATAATTATTACTTTAAAAAAAAATAACACATAATACCTATCATTATTAAGAAATAAATATGTATTTTTTTTATTTTTTAAATACCTATAATGAAACTTTTATTTTTTATACATATATATGTGTATATATATTTATATATATTTTTATATTAAACATTTTATTAAGCTTATTCTTTTATTATTTTTTTTTACATTTTTTCTTATAAATTATAAAATTCAAGATTCTTGAAATAAACAGAAAAGTGTTAATTGAAACTAACGCGTTTTTTAAATATTATTTAGTTCATTTTTCTACAAAATAACTTGGCTATATAGAGTTAAATGTTTTTTTTAGTATTAATAGAATTAAACTTTTTTTTTTTTTTTTTTGAGGACTATTTTTGTATAAAAAATGTACCCATTTAAAATTAAAACAAAAATTATTTATACATAATATATTTCATTATAATTATTTTTTCTAATCTTAATTTTTAATTTATTATACTAATTTTTTTAAAATATTGAAAAGTGATATTTAATTTCACTTGATTTTAGTATATATTCTATTATGTTATACTTTTTTAAATAAATATTTATTTCCATTTCTGAATTAAAAAATAATAAAAAAAAAATTTTTTTTGTTGAATATACTTCATCATATAACGTAAATATATATACGTTATATAAACAATCAAAGTATAATTAATCATGTAAAAAAAAAAAAAAAAAAGGAAAAATATACTGTTAACAGTTATGCATACATTGTATATATATTATATAAATGATATAAAATTTAATAGAAGCATATAAGTGAATTACAAGTATTATTGTAGGAAACAAATAAAATTTGCACATAAAATTTGCTCGTAAAATTTGCTCATAAAATTTGCTCATAAAATTTGCTCATAAAATTTTTTTTTTCCTTATTTAAAAAACCTTTTATAATGTTACATTTTGATTATTACTGTTATAATAATAAAAATATATATTTTTTTTTTTTTTTACTTTGAATATTTTATAATTCTGTATTAATTTCATTCATATTATCAAAAGTAAATTTAGGAGTATCTTTAACAGTAAATGTCACTAAATTTTCAACTGAAGATTTTCCCATCATCATTTGAGTAATAAAATTTTTTATAGATGATTCAGAATAGTTTCCTTTTAAAATTGAATAAACATTTTTTGAAAAACTTAAAGCAATAACAGTAGGAAAACCAAATGTTAAATTTAACTTCTGAACAATATCTAACTGATCACCTGCTTGTGTCCACATTAATGTAACAGGTAAATTGTTTACATCCTTAAGAACATTTTTTAAAATACTAATGTAAGATTTAAAATAAGTAGGCTCTGTGTCTTCTTTATTTGGTAAAAATGCTAAAAGACAGACACCTTTTTCACAATATTCATCAAAAACTTGTTGAGAAGTTAATTGAATTAGCTCTTTTTTTTCTACATAATGTTTTAAAAAAAATTGATATAAATCTTCTATTGTTCTTGAATCATTATAATCTATAGCACTATGAGAATTTTTATTTCCAGCTGGGAATAAGCGAAAAGATGGGTAATGACTTATTCTATAGGTTTGCGCTGTTCTTTGTTCTACTGTTGCATCTATTTTAGCTATTTTCGCATTTTTTAAATGAGATACTTTTTTAGCTAGCTCATCAAACATTGGATGTATTGGTTTGCTGTGACCACACCATGGTGCATAAAAAAAGACAAACCACACATTATCATCATTTTGTAAAACATTTTTATCAAAATTTTTATCATTTAATATAATTACTTTCCCATCATTTTTATTTTTAGAATTTTTCTTATAAGAACTTTTATTTTTACTAGTATCTATATTTAACTCTCTTAAGCGATAATTTTTTATTGAATCATATATAAAGGTAACCACATCTTTAATTTTATAATTGCCATCAAATTTTTCAACTTCTTTTTTATTTCCATTTACAAAAAAAAGTTGCAAGCTTGGATATATTTCAATCCCATATTTATTAGCTATTTCTTCATTTTTAATAGCTATAAATGTTACATCATCTTTTAATGCTTTTGATATGCTTACAAAATCATTTGCAAATCCTCTTGATACCCTACACCAAGTTGCGTAAAATTGAACAACGCAAACTTTCTTTGATGCTAGTAATTCTTCAAATTTATTAAGACTATCAACTGTTATAATTTCTTCAATATCCTTATATAAACAAAAACTTACTTTCATAAAAAGAGAAATTAAAAAAAGGAAGAAAAAAACTTTATGAAAAATTTTCATTTTTTACAAGAAAGAAAAAAAAAAAAAAAAAAAAAAGAATTAAATAAATAGAAAATAATACAAATAAAATCTTTTATATAAGAGAATTATGTGTATTTAAAAATAAACAAAAAAAAAAAAAAAAAAAAAGTAAAATTGTAACAAAAAAAGTTTTTATTACGAATTTTTAATATATATAATATATTAAAATGCTCATTTTATTATAAAAAGAAATAAAAAAAAAATATACAAATAATTTAGAAAAAAAAAAAAAAAAAAAGCATAAAGATAATATAAGAAAAAAAATATCCAAATAACGTAATATAAAACATTATATACAAAAATTTTATGTGTACTGAATGTTAGCAGAAAAAAGTTCTAATGATTATAATAGTCAATATTTTATACTAATTATTTTATCAATTAACATTTTGAATCAGAATTAACAAAAGATGAATCTATTTAAAGAAGTAAAAAAAATTTATTAATAAAAAGAATAATTAGTAAAAAAAAAAATATAATATATAAGATTAAAAAAAAAAAAAAAATAAAAATAATTTAAGATAGAAATATGTAAAAGAAAACTAGAAAAAAATGAGAACTAAAGAGATATATTAAAAAAAGAAAAACTACATAAAAAAAAAAGCATTAGTATACATAATTTTTTTTAAAAATTAGAAAAAGCACAGAAATAAAAGATCAAAAAAAAAATATTAAATATATCTAATAGTTTAGCATATTTTTAGATTTGAAAGTCTTTAGGAAAATGTTATTTATAAATATTAACATAGTCACAACATATTTATAGAGAAATTTTTATAATAATTCTACATTTATTTCTAATACATACATATATATATATATATGCATGTAAGAAGAAAAAAATTGTTTAAATATTTTTTATATAAAAGGACCTATAAAAATTTAGAGTATTACAAAATACTTTAATTATATTATTAATTTGTCTATATTGAAATACCACTGTTCTAAGTTTTTTTTTTTTTTTTTTTTTTTACACATATGGAATATAAACTTATTATGTTTATTTTAATTTTAAATGATAATATATTTTTTATTATCTTTATTTTAATATAAAGAAAAGTTTTATTTAAATTTTACTTCAAAGAAATAACATAAAATAGAAAAAAATATTATATTATTTTTTTTAATCAGTAATTAGAATGTTAAAATTTTCTTTATGAAATTAAAAAAATTTATAAATTAAATATAATAGAACAACATATTATAAAAGTAGAGAAAAAATAAAAAAGAAAATTTGGATACAGAATATAATTAAAAAATTTTCGTTATGCTTTATTTATTACAAACTTTAAAAAAAAATATTTCTTTAATGAAAGGATTTAAATTTTTTCTCTAATTTTTATAAAAGTAAAAGGAACATGTGAAATTATTTGACTTAAAGAAATAAAAAGGTCACAACAATAAGATAATGTTTCTTGAATAAAAAAGACTTAAACTATTCCTATAAAAGAATATATTTTTTTTTTATTTTATTCTTTTTGTAAAATCAATATATCCTCATTCTATTATAGAATGTTAAACACTTAATTTTATCTTTATATGCATAAAATTTTCATATTTAAAAAATTATCTTAAAAATTTTATATAGCATTTTTTTATGTTTCTACAATATTCTAATAAACTGCAAGGAAGTAATTAAAAAGAAAAAATATTCTTAATTTTTATAAAAAGATAACTATTCGAATTGATAATAAAATAATTTAAAAAAAAAAAATAAATAATGTAGATTTCACAAAATGTTGTNAAAAAAATATATTTTTTTTTTTTTTTTTTTTTTGTTGTGATCTAATTTTTCTTTAAAATAATAATTT